ACACACACACTCACACGCACACACACACACACACACACACACACACACACACACACACACACACACACACACACACACACACATTTCTGATAAAACTCTGCACAATGTCAAAGATTAGCAGGTCAGAGAACCTGTACAGTATGTGTGCATGAGAGGTCATGCAGTCCAGAAAAACAAAACAGAAAACAATCAAACAGTATGCTTATGCAGTTTATAAATAACACATAGTTACACATGTATGTACAGCACATTAAATTGCATGCATTTGGCCAGGGACAGTTTTCATGGGTGGATCCCCATCGTCGCAGGACCCAGCTACCTCCAGATGATGAGCCTTCATATATTTGCATTGACTTGTCTAAACTGGAAATTGTATAACTGTTTGTCAACTAGATTAGTTGGCTCTTATTAAGAAGTTTATTATTAAGTGATAATGTATTTGAGTATTAAAATGCAAAGAAGGCAGTCAATATACCTGATAATACGCTGAGAACTCATTTCAAGCCCATTTATAAATCAAAATCAAAATTATATAACATACATAAATGAACTCGTTTCACAGCAGGTGGACTGTTGCCAGGAAGGTTTCTGCCAAAGGAGGCTCGGATGGTGAAGTATTTAAATATACATTTTATAATATGCTTTGATGGAGCCCAACAAATAAATCATCTTCAATTATAATAGCACCTTATATAAGAAGAACAATTTATCAATGGCAAAAAGCACAGTAGCACTGAATCTGCTGATGCACTCTTGAAAAGGGCATATCTGTAGGAGTGAGAGAGTGTCTGTGTGTAAATAAGTCAGTGCATACAGTGTACATACTCATAGTTTTCTCCAGGAGGGCTGCTTTTGTCCAAAACGGGAGAGAGTTTTAAAATAACTCTCACCTGAAAGACCCCCATCAGTTCAATGAAGCGAAAAGAGCGGGACAAAGTGATTCAAGAAAACAGCTACTGTCTGAAGATAGCACGCATTCTTTGCCCCAGGTGGACTCGAGTGTCTGGAAAGACTAGAACTGTGTGCAGTTGTGTAGAGGAAGTGGACCAAATAATGGAAACGCCACAATAAATAAAGCATCTTAACTCTGAAAATAAACCGCAACTATAAATGTCTGCGTGCAAAATAAGTCACGTTAGGTTGACTGTCAATTAGCGGGATTTGTAAACAATCGAGTGCAAAAATTGGTGCAAAATTATTCAATGTGCCAAGAGGAAAATCCAGCACTTTATTTTACAGTCCTGTTATGCATGTAAATACACATACTATTATAATACCAATAAATTATGCATAATGCAAGTAACCCTAAGTCAAACCCTAATCCTATAACCATATAGTAAGCACATGTAGTTAATTAATATTCCTCAGTAATTAAATTTACAATTACACTGTAACAAGGACACGTTAAAACAAAGTTTAACCCAATTTTAATAACTATGTAATAACTAACTGTAAACTAAACCTAAACTTCTAGTTAACTTATTTTATTCAGTACTTTGTTGTGTAAGTAGATTGTAGACTAAGGGCATGCACTTTAAAATATAGTGCAAATGAAAATTCCCCTAGGCACGGATGGACAAAATGAACACCTGCCTGAGTATTAGCTAAATTCCAAAAAGTATCATATTGGAAGCTAAAATCCATTGTGTACGTCATAACCATCATGCATGTCTCAGCACACGGGCAGATCTGTAATGGTTTGGCCAAACATTATGTTTAATGATTGTCTGCAGGGTCACAAGGGCCAAAGAATATGAGCCATTTACAAGACCAAGTGTAACCTATTCAAAATGTAAATAATAATAATGCATCCTTCATTATGTTTCATTGATATTAATGCATCAATTCAAACAATTGTCAGTGAGTTCTTAAAAAAACATATACAAAATTATTTTTTCTTGTAGAATGTTACACTGTCCCTGTATGACAGCCTTCAAAAATCAACTCAAGTTGTTAAAGCAAAGACTGGCCTTAATTCAGTTTTGCATTGCTTGGTGCTTCTTTTCAGGGTTAAAGTAGCATGAGGGGCTTTCGCATCGCGTAGTTCAAGGAATTTCCTTCCAATTTTCCCCTCGGGCCGTTTTCTGTGTTGCATTCGCAGCCTTTGAAGCAGCCGACTGCGACGTCTTTATGCGCAGCATTTACAAACATCAATGGAGGACGGCGTGATCGGAGCTGTTTTTGTTGTGTGTCATGGGTTTCGTTATAACGGAGATGGAATGTAAATGCACAATTTATGCGATTGAAAAAGCATTAAAATCTGACTAAATCTCCTATGACAACTTGCAGTGTTACATGTCATTAAGACTGAGAAAAGAACACAATGCTGCAGACAACAGGTAAATGCCGGTATAACGGAGATGGAATGTAAATGCACAATTTATGCGATTGAAAAAGCATTAAAATCTGACTAAATCTCCTATGACAACTTGCAGTGTTACATGTCATTGAGACTGAGAAAAGAACACAATGCTGCAGACAACAGGTAAATGCCGTTATTGCTGGTTTACATGTTCATGGAGTAAATATTTTTACATGGCTTTTTAAAAATGCCAGGTAGCCGGTGTTTCATATGCGTTTGGCCAATCAGCATACACTTATGTCACTGATAGTCCTTATAGAGCTGCTTTAGACCCTACTCTAAAGTAGGAGCTAATTTAGTTCCTACAAACGGAGTTCCTATACGTTTCTAGTTCATGCGGTGCGAACACGCCAAAAAGTGGGAACTTCCACCTAGTGTTGTCAAAAGTACCGACCGCGATACCATTCGCTACTGACATTTTAAAAATGTCCATTTCCCGCTAAGATTTGAGAATTGTTAAGCAGATTCTTAAACAGTGCTGATTGGTCATTGTGTTCACGCGCGCAACAGATATGACTATGATTGGCTACGATGATCATTGCTTCACGCTCTTGACCAATCAGCGCTGTTTAAGAATCTGCTCAACAGCACTCAAATGTTAGCGGGAAATGATTAAAATTTAAGTACCAAATGGTACTTTTGACAACACTACTTCCACCAATAGGAACTATGAAAAGGTTCCTCCAGTGCGAAAGCCCCTATGGCTGCTGTAAGGCTTGCATTTGCCAGAAAGTCTTACCTGCACATTATTGTGAGTGTCTGCAGAGTTTTTTTTTTTTTTCGTGATGGTTGTGTGAAGGGAGAATGTCGAGTGTGTAATTATGTGACAGTATCAAAACAAGAGTGCCACAAGTGCCATTGCACCTTGACTGTCTTTAGGGAGGAGGAAAATCATTCTGCAGTCGGAGAGTTTCATGCCAGAGCGATGAGAGGACAATACATGCTATCAGGCTGAAAGAGAGGGATGGGGCAAAGGTGAAGAAGAGTCAACATTGTCCCCTCTCAGCACAATCACAGTTACATCTTCAGCAGAAGACCCTGAATGTGTCTCTCATCCATCCTTTCTTCCATCCTTCCATCTATGCATTCACCAGTTTATTAGATGACCATGTCTTCAGCCCCCTTTCTCTGTGATTTCTAACAGAGCTCACACTTCCCTGAAAGAGAGAGAGAGAGAGAGAGAGAGAGAGAGAGAGAGAGAGAGAAAGAAAATAAGCGTTAAAAGGGGAAAAGGCAGGGATTTCAAGCACCAAGTGTAAATAAAAAGATTCACACGAATGAAGCTATGGGTTAACAAATATGACGGTCTTTGCTAACACATCACTGATGCATAAACATAACATTTTAACTGAGATAACAGGTTAACAGTTTAAAACACGGCTTTTAACCACATTTCACATTTGATATGGCTTGAAAATGACTGTGACTGAATGTCAGCTTTTATTCTCCACATAACATTGATTTTACATCACATTGTCTAGAGTTCATCAACAAAGCAAAAGGCCTATCCAGTATATGGCTGAGAAGGTTTCTTATTTATCTTCAGAATACAGCCATAGATTTGCTTATTTGTGTTGACAGGTTACGGATATAGACTCCTGTGTAGATAATAGACAGATAGATAGATAGATAGATACGCTCCTGAATATAAAATATGATTTAGCTCCTGTATTGATCCAGCAAGACTAAAAAATCTGCTGAGAAATCTGATGAATTACTCAGCTCTTAGACACTAGATTTCTATGAAAATGAAAATGGCTCGCTGACAAACCAGTTTATCACAGCTTATGTTTAGAGGCCAATCTTCTATTTTTGCCCCCCATTTATAGTATTGTGTTACCAGTGAAACATGAACAGAGCAATTAAACACTACAATTCCTTAACTCATATGTCTTTAAATTAAATCTAAAAATCAGGGCAGAGGTATTTTAAATAAACGGTGGAATCAACAAGCCCACTGACTTAAGAGGAGAACAACGGTGTAAGTGACAATGTTATTACATATTCTGCCCTCAAACAAATATTGTGGTTTGTGGTCATTCTGTACAAGTCATACTCTTAGATCTCATTTCTATAGCTACTTATTATGTTTCCAGGTTTCGAATTGTGCACACCTGTTTCTTGGTTATCCCTTTGTATACATATCACTTTTTTTTCCTTAGACATTTGTCTGATTCTGTCTTGATGTATCTATGTTAAGCTGTTGTTTAATTTGGATTGTATTTTCTCCTGTGCTATTTGATATCTTCATCTTGTTAATTTATTAAAAAGCTGCACATATAGATCCGTAAGTGTAAATACAAAAAAGTAACGATCCCAAAATCAAACCCTGAGGGACACCAGCATGGACAGACCTGATATTTTTCGCCAATACATGTTTATTCAATACTTTTTGGCAACTGCCATTTGCCAGGATGACAAGTCACCTTTATTTATATAGTGCTTTTACCAAAACAGATATCAGAGATAACAGCTCTAAGTCTTCTCCTATAATGAGGTTGGAGAACACCTGGCAAGAGATCGGAGACAAAATCTTTCCAGATCATTCGGAGTTGCATGCTGGTGCTTCTCCCAGGGGTTAAAGCAAAAAAAAAAAAACTTTCTTCCATCCTTCCATCTATGCATTCACCAGTTTATTAGATGACCATGTCTTCAGCCCCCTTTCTCTGTGATTTCTAACAGAGCTCACACTTCCCTGAAAGAGAGAGAGAGAGAGAGAGAGAGAGAGAGAGAGAGAAAGAAAATAAGCGTTAAAAGGGGAAAAGGCAGGGATTTCAAGCACCAAGTGTAAATAAAAAGATTCACATGAATGAAGCTATGGGTTAACAAATATGACGGTCTTTGCTAACACATCACTGATGCATAAACATAACATTTTAACTGAGATAACAGGTTAACAGTTTAAAACACGGCTTTTAACCACATTTCACATTTGATATGGCTTGAAAATGACTGTGACTGAATGTCAGCTTTTATTCTCCACATAACATTGATTTTACATCACATTGTCTAGAGTTCATCAACAAAGCAAAAGGCCTATCCAGTATATGGCTGAGAAGGTTTCTTATTTATCTTCAGAATACAGCCATAGATTTGCTTATTTGTGTTGACAGGTTACGGATATAGACTCCTGTGTGGATAATAGACAGATAGATAGATAGATAGATAGATAGATAGATAGATAGATAGATAGATACGCTCCTGAATATAAAATATGATTTAGCTCCTGTATTGATCCAGCAAGACTAAAAAATCTGCTGAGAAATCTGATGAATTACTCAGCTCTTAGACACTAGATTTCTATGAAAATGAAAATGGCTCGCTGACAAACCAGTTTATCACAGCTTATGTTTAGAGGCCAATCTTCTATTTTTGCCCCCCATTTATAGTATTGTGTTACCAGTGAAACATGAACAGAGCAATTAAACACTACAATTCCTTAACTCATATGTCTTTAAATTAAATCTAAAAATCAGGGCAGAGGTATTTTAAATAAACGGTGGAATCAACAAGCCCACTGACTTAAGAGGAGAACAACGGTGTAAGTGACAATGTTATTACATATTCTGCCCTCAAACAAATATTGTGGTTTGTGGTCATTCTGTACAAGTCATACTCTTAGATCTCATTTCTATAGCTACTTATTATGTTTCCAGGTTTCGAATTGTGCACACCTGTTTCTTGGTTATCCCTTTGTATACATATCACTTTTTTTTCCTTAGACATTTGTCTGATTCTGTCTTGATGTATCTATGTTAAGCTGTTGTTTAATTTGGATTGTATTTTCTCCTGTGCTATTTGATATCTTCATCTTGTTAATTTATTAAAAAGCTGCACATATAGATCCGTAAGTGTAAATACAAAAAAGTAACGATCCCAAAATCAAACCCTGAGGGACACCAGCATGGACAGACCTGATATTTTTCGCCAATACATGTTTATTCAATACTTTTTGGCAACTGCCATTTGCCAGGATGACAAGTCACCTTTATTTATATAGTGCTTTTACCAAAACAGATATCAGAGATAACAGCTCTAAGTCTTCTCCTATAATGAGGTTGGAGAACACCTGGCAAGAGATCGGAGACAAAATCTTTCCAGATTATTCGGAGTTGCATGCTGGTGCTTCTCCCAGGGGTTAAAGCAAAAAAAAAAAAAAAGAGCAATTTTTTTTCTTCTTGTAATTAGGAGCACTTGTCATCCTAATTTAAAAAATTTAGGAGCACCTTCTGATCAATAATAAAAAATTCTGATCAAAAATTAGCCTTCCTAATACGAGGTGATATTTGACTCAATGTGATTTACAGGGGCGTTTTATTTTTACCTTTGTAATGGCATTTTTATAATTTTATTAAAAGTATGTCATCATCTATGTCAAATTTAAAAAAAAATTGTATTAATAAAAAAATTATTTGTACTACAGAGGTGGCACAGAAGAACATGAAAGTGATTTGTAGGTACTTTTTTTTAGACGTTTAATGAGGCTCAGTGGTGGCATGAGTGCAATTAAATTCATGTTGAGATTAATGTTTTAAATATAAAATTTTGAATATAGAAATACTAAATGATTTAAATAACTGAAATTATACGTTAAAAATGGTGGCGACAAGCCACTGATTTTATCACTGAATCATTCATTCAATTGATTCGTTCAAACGGCTGATTCATTCAGGAACGAAGCAAGTGACTGTCTTTATGAATGGGTAATCATGAATCACTGACTCACTAGATTCGTTTAAACACGCACTTTCATACATGAATGAAACACCGCTGTGTTTGCTTTTAGACATGCGCAACGGCTGAGCTGTTACTTTATTTGGAACTATTTTCGTTGACAAAATAGAGCAAACTCAGGCAGTATGTGTTATAGTCAGACAACGTAAGTCACTTAATATTAACTTCTTGCTTATTGAACTGTTGTATTAAATCAATATCACATTTGCAAACTTCCTTAATCTTTAAAAGCTGTCACTCTCAGTTTATCGCGATCTGTGGGCGCACAGAAAATGGTCTGTAAGAGAGCGCGATTCGCAACGGCTGAGCTGTTACTTTATTTGGAACTATTTTCGTTGACAAAATAGAGCAAACTCAGGCAGTACGTGTTATAGTCAGACAACGTAAGTCACTTAATATTAACTTCTTGCTTATTGAACTGTTGTATTAAATCAATATCACATTTGCAAACTTCCTTAATCTTTAAAAGCTGTCACTCTCAGTTTATCGCGATCTGTGGGCGCACAGAAAATGGTCTGTAAGAGAGCGCGCGCGTGAGTTCTCTTTCACTTTAAATAAGCAAGACTCAAAAGCACATGCAAATGATACGTTCTGTCATCTATCATCGCTTTAGAAGCGCGGAACCTGCGGGAATGAGTAGATTTATTATTAATAGCCCCAATCCCGTGCCGAAATTTAAAGTCCTGCTCTGTGTCACCGAGAAGCTGCAGCCGTGGCGGGGATGATTTTTGGTGTGCCGGCAGAACAACAACAACAGCAATGAGCTACATGTTTCTTTTCTCCTCATTTTTTCCAATTGACGGAAATCTGTCATAGCGACGGAAAACTTTAATCCCTGTTCTCCTCTTCAGTTCACTCCACTCATTTTCTATAGGGCTCAGGCCAGGGGATGGACTGGAATTGTGCTCAGTGACCCATTTTTGATGTTTGTTTTGGATCATTGTCCAAATGGAAGATCCAGCCATGGCATAATCAATTCTTTATTACAGATAAATCATGTTAGTATGGCGCTCAAAATAAATAAATACATAAACACAAGAGTAAGTACCATAAGCACTTAAAAGATATCAATATATACCTTCAATCAATCAATCAATCAATCAAGACATATGTAAAAAATGCATTCAGAAACACATACATACAAACATCTACTAGTACCTCAGACTGTGCTATGTGAGTGTGAATCTATAAAGATATGATAAATCTGTCTCTCTGGTTCTCACATCCAACATTTCCTGACATATCGTAGATGGGCAGTAATTGAATGATCATTACACCAAAGTTATGGCAAAGGTGTGCGTGAAGATGGGAAAATGGGGGATTTTGGGCTGCTCTGACATTTATTGCCTTTGATTTATGAGGAAAGCGTCAGGCACTCCAGTGGGCAATAAAGCGAAGAGCTTATCACCCGCAGGTAGCTTCTATGAAACTGCCGCATACACACCAGCCAGCCTTAATGTCTGCTCCTGAATGAACTATTCATTAAACAGCCACCGGCAGGCTGGCAGTGCCCACTACGATTTCTGTGTCAGACACACAGAGAGAGACGAGATATCTCATATTTTCCCTTTGTCCCGTGGCAGCGCTTTCATGGAGGCTTTGAGACCTTTTCTTTCATTTTTTTCCCTCTGGATTTGAGACAGGAGACATGAGGACAGGGAAAATCTGACCCGCGTTCAGTTTGTGAGCGAAAAGCCAAATGTAAATGAACTTCTTGGAACAAAAGTCTTTCACATTTTCGACATGACCAAATTAGACTTTTACACTATTTATGTCTAGAATATTATGAAAACAATGACTCAGTTTTCAAAAACATTTCAGCACAGCAACACTTAAACATTTCGGTAACACTTTATTTTAGGGTCTCTTAACTAGTTGCTTATTAGCATGCATATTACTAGAATATTAGCCATTTATTAGTAGTAATTAAGCACATATTAATGCCTTATTCTAAATTCCATTATTCTACCCAATACCTAAACTTAACAACTATCTTACTAACTATTAATAAGCAGCACATTAGGAATTTATTGAGTGAAAAGTTGTAGATAATAGTGAATAAGTGTTCCCTATTCTAAAGTGTTACCAACATTTTAATTTATTAGCTCAGTTCAGATATTTAAACTACGATGGGTTTTTTTCGGTCCCACTTTATTTTAACGTCCAATAGAGTTGGGGAACTCTGGCATCAGAGTAATTTGAGATTTTCCTATGTGGTTTTATAATGGGGTTTTTCAATTTCTGAGTAAAATAAAGCCTGTGGTAAACATAACTTGACGTTTACATGCTTAATGCTTTTCTCTAGTCAGACGACATCCACCCAGACTGGCAAAGATCTTTAGAGCAACAGACACACACTCCACCTCACTTTCAGTGACGGTACAAAACACAATGCAGCCAAATTGTTTCTGTGTGTTTCTGATATGCATCCACTACAATTTTACTCTGATTAATAAAAGTTGCACACAGCCCGTTTTTAAGCCTAGACCATCCGTGTCAAAAAAAAAAAAAAGCTATATTTTTGACTTGCACAGTTCTTCATATTCTTAAAAAGAATGAAGCTCTACCGAACCAACAGAGCAGATTCCTACCTGGACTCCATGGTGTCTTTGGTGAGATAGACAATCCAGTAGACCAGGTTGAAGGCCCCGAAGGACAGCGGAAACAGGATGCGAGAGTACTTGTCAATAATACTAGTTGCCAGCATGTTGTTGGCAGGGACAGTGGAGCCTTGCTGATGGAGATCAGGCTGTGGTGCTCTGGGGAACCTGTCAGGAGCATCTCTTGGAGAGAGAGAGTTCAGCCTTTTCTTCAGCACACCTGCAGGGTCCAGAGGATTCTACACACACACAGATTAATTTGTGACACGAGGACAAGCGAGCAGTTATCAAAGTGACGCTTTTCACATTTAAGCCTGGAACGCAGACTAGAAAGGAAACAGTGCAGCTGGTGTAATGACAGACCACAGACAATGTTATTACAGTGATCCTTTTTGCTTCAGTGACACAAACAAACAAATACAACACGGAAATAATACTATACACCCTGGTAGTGTTTCTTTTGATTTTGTTGCAAAGGTAAATTTGTTGTAATAGAAAAAAAAAACACTTTAGGGAGGGTTGTTTAGTGATGTAGTAGCAATATTGGCTAGTGTTGAAGAGTTGTGTGATTTATACTGCTGCATTAAAGCAAACTTCATAAAAAGGGGTCCATTAAAAATATGCATTTTCCAATTTTATATACATTGTAAATTGATGCACTATGCTATTCTTCGGCCATATATTTATTTCAAGGATCCGATGCATATTCTAACACCATGATCTAAAGCTTATTTTATTTTATGTTATGTTATGTTATGTTTTATGTTATGTTATGTTATATGTTGTTATGTTATGTTATGTTATGTTTTAAGGCATTAATACGTGCTTTATAAGTACTAGTTAACAGCTAACATGCTAGTAATATGCATGCTAATAAACAACTAGTTAATAGTGAGAATTGGTCCCTAAACTAAAGTGTTACCGAACTGTTGTATGCAACATAGCAATTTTTTTGGTAATAATGTAACAATATTAAGAGGTCATAACTGCTCAATGTGATATTTAGAGCATGTGGGCAACAATAACATCTGTAAAATGAACTTTAATTAGTCTTTGCTCTGAGTGAACAAGGTTATTTATGGCTTATTCATACGGTGGCCGAGAAGTGCAAAGCAAATCACAATTCTGAAACTTTTTTTCCCTCCCTTTTCAAATCTCGTATTAGCAATGGATTCTATTTACACTTAGTGAAAATATCTATTTACACTATGTTAAAATAGCAGGATTTCTACTTTCAAGTATACTACTTGTTGCAAATAGTGGCAATTATCTGCACTTCAGTATTGTAGTACATTATAAAACAGTATGCAATAATAACGTTGTGACGAGAGGGGCGGGGCCGAGAGCTGTGGGGACGGAGAGAGGCTGGTGGAGTAAT